GAACAGCGCAGTTTCATAAGGTAATGGAACATCGTTCAAATTTAAACTACCAAAAAAAAAAAGTCAAATGGTTCCTGGGTGGTCCAATGGTCTGCTGGAGCATTTAACATGTCTTTCATGCAAGTGCTGATCAAGTTACATATTCAGTGGCATTTTAACAGATGAGGCATCAACAGAATAACATGGTACGCTTGACTTGAGCCGTACTTTGCGTAAACATGCCCACAAATTTGTAATTAACTTGTAAATGTTAATTTATAATCAGATGGCATTATTGAACGGTAAGTACAGGTACAATATTGATGTCATAACGGAATGAAGTTTGACATCAGGCTGATATTTGCTACATACATTTAAATGTGGAACTACCACTTTCAAAACTGGTCAAAAGTGAATATAAACGTTCCTTGATTCACTGACAATTGTTACTCCCTGGAGCGTCGGTGTAGACTTCACATTCACGTAGTCTCTATAGAAACGACAGGGATCCACAACAGCCATGGCGGGTCGTCTGCGCCTGCTAGTTCTTTTCATATTTCTCCTGGTAGTCGGTCTGGTCGTCCGTACGGGTGCTGACGAGGCTGGCATCGCCTTAGAGGAGGCTTACAATGCGAGAAGTTTCAGGGTAAGTAAATCGTTTAAATTCCTGTAGCACCCAATGCGACTACCCATCGCTACTTGTAAGTGAGGCCTGTGCAGCAAACTAGCCAGGCTGTGACTATGATGCTAATATATTACCGTATGATGCAATACAGTAGGCAAACGTATAAGTAAGGCTTGTTAGAGCCCTCTCCGTGCAAATTTTAGCGACACAGACTAGCCTCGCTGTAGTGGTGGGTAGTTGGGTCGGGTGCCTACAAAGAGGCTAGATTTTATGACCATCCCAAATCCGGGAAATCCCCCTATAAATCTCACTTGTCCAATAGTTAGTCTTTTAATAAAATTGATCTGAACGAAACAGATTCACATTCAGTATATCCATGAAATTTGAATCAAATCAAACCAAGGGTTTTTGTTGTAGCTACTTGCAGGTTATGACCTGGCTCGTGTAAGCCAATGAGTAATGAGCAAGTCAGTGGAAAACGCTGTCATTTTTAGTTGCCATCGTAATGCAGGCTTTCTGTCTGTGCAGGATAAATTTCGCGAAGCAAGCCGCAATGAGGGTACGACTGCAGAGGAGTCTAACGTCAACCACCTTGACAGTGACACTCAACGTCGCGGAAAGGCTGCACCGCCAGAAGGGATATTCACCGAGCCGCCACTTTACGGCAATAAGAAATGGGGCTAGTTAAAGTCAGATTTGACCAGAGCGTGACAGAGAGCAACCAGTGTTTTGACAGTGGCGTTGGGTGCATCCACATTTTTTCAGCGTTTCAAGTCATTTTAGTTACATTATCCAGATCAATGGTATACCGCAGTACAAAATAATGCCCAGGCTGCAAAATATCTGTTGGTAATTACACACCTTTTTATTTAGCCTATTTAACATCAAGCCGTTTGGACTACATTTTTGAGAGTATTCCCAATAAAATTCCATATTAAAAGAAAGGTATTTTCTTTTATAGGAACAACAATTTCAGTTGACTTAAGAATGGAGTACCTCGCTTTTTAATCTTCAGTTTCTGTAGGCGGAAAATTTTCATCCAAATTTATTTTCAAATTGTCCTGGGGGTACAGAACTCAAAGCATTTTATTTTCAACTTCCAACAACAGCTGTAAGTTGGCATTAAACGAAGCAGAGGCTTTTTCATATATTTTCATATAAACACCGATGTGCTTCATATTTAATGGTCAGTGGCAACTGCACTCAGAATGCAAATTACGTTGTAAATTCAAATCCAGCCAACGTCTGGGTGGAATGGCTATTCTGTGTCACAGTAAAACATCCTGAAACCAAATAAAACGCCTTGCTAAACTTTAATGTTGGATGCAGTCTTCCTTTGTCTACTAGCGCCTCTCCTCCCTTCGAATGCTCCATTCCTCGTTCTCAGCGTGTTCCACCACAGTCTAGTGTTGCTCTCCTCCTCGTTCTCAGCGTGTTCTACCTCGGTCTAGTGTTGCTCCACTCCTCATTCTCAGCGTGCTCAACCACGGTCTAATGTTGCTCCCTCCTTGTTCTCAGCGTACTCCACCTCGGTCTAGTGTTGCTCCATTCCTCGTTCTCAGCGTGCTCCACCACGGTCTAGTGTTGCTCCACTCCTCGTTCTAAGCATGTTCCACCTCAGTCTAGTCTTGGTCCCCTCCTCGTTCTCAGCATGTTCCACCTCAGTCTCGTCTTGCTCCCCTCCTCGTTCTAAGCGTGCTCCACCTCGGTCTAGTATTGCTCCACTCCTCGTTCTCAGCGTGCTCCACCTCAGTCTAGTGTTGCTCCACTCCTCGTTTTCTTTAGGCCCGTATTTTTCTTGGGCCCTGGACACAGTGCCTACTCTGCTTGCTACCTTGCTCAATTCGAAACTATTGGCTTTCATGTTGCTCTTACAATACGGAACTTTCCCTAGGACTAACCAAATCCACTTACAAAACAGGATAAATGATTGTCCAATGAATAGCAGGAAACACCCTTTGCTCCCTGAGTGTTCTGTCTTCAAAATGTTCAACATGTACCGCGATTCCTTTGACAAAACTTGGAGAAAAGTGTACTTAATTGAAAGCGGTATGTATCTAATGTTGCTGCTTACGGAGCAACAAAGTTTCATAAGGTAATGGAAAATCGTTCGATTGAAAACTACAAAAAAAGGTCAAATGGAGCCTGTGTGGTACAGTGGTCTGCTGGAGCATTTAACATGTATTTCATGCAAGTGCTGTTTCAAGTTATTTGTATTTAGTGCCATTTAAACAGATGGGCAATTAATGGAATAACGCTTGATTTGAGCCGTAATTTGCCTGAACAGGCCGCAAATGTGTAATTAACTTGTTATTACTAGTTCATAATCAGATGACATTATTAAATGGTAAGTACGGGCACAACATTGAAGTCATAACGGAGTGAAGTCTGACATCAGGCTGACATTTGCTTCATACACTCAAATGTTGAACTACCACTTTCAAAACAGGTTATAATTGAATGTAAACGTTCCTTGATTCACTGACAATTGTTATTCCCTGGAGCGTCAGTGTACACTTCACATCCACGTAATTTCTGTAGAAGGGATCCACAACAGCCGTGGCGGGTCGTCTGTGTCTGCAAGTACTTGTCATATTTCTCCTGGCAGTCGGTCTGGTCGTCCGTTCGGGTGCTGATGAGGCTGGTCATGCCTGTACCCAAACGACTGATTTATGGTAGCTAATGTATCCCCTAGGTCCCCTCTAACTAGATTCCATTATTCTGCCGTGGAAGTATAATTAATACCACGTCACAAGCCAAACAGCAGGACCACCCAGCACACGTCGGTAAACAAAGAGATCCTGTTCCTGATAGCGACCATATGGGCTCCTTGGAGTGACTGATCTTTCAAGGATTTTATCTCGGGAGCGGTTGGGGTCTGGCCAATGACGGTATACAGGCTTGTGATGTATGCCTGGGCCCGGATGAGGATTACAAAGTTGACCCACTCAAAAAAGTTATTACCATATTTGGTAATATCTGTCAATCTCAATCCCCGCTCCATCGACATCAGGGTTAAACAGGCTTATAATTCATATATGTAATTATTCGTTGTTTTGGTTTATAGATATAGATTAGACACGTATCATAAAATTGGATATAAACGGATACGACGTTGAAGTCATAAAGTTTTCAGCCTAAAATTAGGCAGAAATTTGAATCATCGGCCTGTTAGATTACGACTTTGCAGTCATTTAAAAATAAAAAGATATGTGTTTCTTGATCACTCAATGGAAATCGTTACTACATGACACATAGAAGCAGACTCCACATCAGTTTTCGTATAAACGGCGAGGATTCTCAGCAGCCATGGCGGGTCGTTTTTGCCTGACAGTTTCGGTCACATTTCTCCTGAGCATTAGTCTAGTCGTCCGTTCAGATGCTGATGACGTTACTTCAGGGGAAGCTGCACGTAAGAGGAATCTCGAGGTAAATAAATATTTTACACAAACAACACAAAAATTGGCTGGCATCGTTTTAGGGGTGGCTGACAATGCGAAAAGTTTCAGGGTAAATAATTCTTTTAAATTCCTATAGCACCCTATCCGACTACCCATCACTACTGATAAGTGAAGCCTGTGCAGAAAAATAGCCATGTTGTAACTGTGATGCTAATATATTATCGTATGATGCAATGCAGTAGTCAAACGTATAAGTGAGGCTTGCTCGAGCCCTTTCCGTACAAATTGTTGTGACACAGACTAGCCTCACTTTTAAGTGTGCCTATTGTATTGCATCATGCGATAATATATT